CACAGACAATAGCACCTTTGCTCGCTAGTTCTATCAGCAACTATAACAAATAAAATCATTGTAATCTCTCGCACTCTCTATCTCTGACTTTCTCACTGTCTGGCCCCTAGTGATAAGCGCCGTCATGCAACAGAATATGTCGTAATAATTGCATTAATTTTCTATAAACTGACGAGTCTGTCGGCAGTCTGGCCACATCCATTCATCAGCCCCCCGCGCACCATAATTATCAGGCATGTGCACGGACAAGCTAAACAGCAAAAGGCAAACTCGTCAAATGCCGAGTCCCATTAAAAACCATATTAGAATCATCACAACAAAAAATCAGACCGGAAAAATTTGTATAAAAAAGGAAAAAGGAAACCTACATCAGCGCAGTCACATCATTTCCGTAACAAAAAGAAACTTTCGACACTATTTGTTTAGTTTTTAGCTTGTGTCCATTCTGCTGGTTATAAGCGCATCTGTCAGCGGCAGGTCCTGTTGACCTTGACACGCAAGGCAGCCAAGGCGAAAGCTTACACGCGCGAGCTTTTTTTCGCCTGCCGCTGCTTATGAATGAATCGCAGGCGCACAACCCCTGCTGCTCATACGGAATGAAAGCTCGCAAGTGGCGCAAGGATAAAGCACAAGGTAAGCGTTACTTGCTGGCTTGCTTTTTTTCAACTCTGATGTCAGCCATGTCAAGGAATGTTTACCGCGTAGTGTGCTTAAATATTTAGTATATGACTAACGGCAATTTGAAATGTAGTTCTAAACGCATCACGGCACTTACTTAAACAATATTGAGGACAAAGGCTTAATTGAATTTCGATGTTCTTTTATTTTATACTGTTATACAATCCAATTAACCTGGAAAAGTAGCCGCAGCTCAAATAAAGCTAGCGAAATAATAGCTACAATTTAGGTTGCATAACTGCAATAAATTTTTGCTGCTAAGTGTAATTGATCTGCGCTTTGCAAATATTATTTTAAATATATATTTTATATATATGTATATATTATAAGCCCTAAGGCAAGCTAGTTGAAATAAAAACCAATTTTCAAATATTGAAACAATTATTTGATTTCTAAGATAACTGTTTTATTGTGTTTGCTTAATGTTTGGTGCTGACTCAATTATTAAAATATTAAAAAAATCAAAATAATTGCAATTAGATATTGTTTTGTTTTTCTTAATTAATAAAATATTTTAAAATGCAATTGAAATAAAAAGTTCTAAGTTTAAATTTAGGTTTTTATATTTCCTTTTTATTAGCTCACGTGTTAGCCATAGAAATATCTTCTTGAATATACGCATATATACACACATATATATATACAATTCAATAGAAAAGAGATTTTTATGTACATACATAATAAACCTATATCAAATGCTGCTGCTGCTGTGGCAACTATTTTTTGCTCGCCATAAAAAACTCACAGAAAAAGAGGCATACAAAACGCGACAAAATTAAATGAAATTGACGAGCTCACAGATACATATGTATAGACAGATACACATGTATGAAGGTGAGTGCGCTAGTGTATGCGGTTGAGTAGTGTGGGCGAGCTGAACAAGAGCGACAGCGACAAATGCAAGAAGAGTTGCTGCGGAACGCAACACGCGGCGTATGAGCAATGTCGAATAGCTCCCGAAAAGCGAAAAGACAACACATAAAATATTTGGCACCCAGGGCAAATATGAGGAAATTTGTGTTTATTTAACGTTAGAATGAAAAATAAAAAAACACAAAAAGATATTGAAACTATAAAATTAGCAAAGAGACGCGCACAGTAGAATGCTTTTGCATTGCATCAAATTTTGTTTGACGAAGGCCCATTATTGAGCAGTTTAATTGCTGAGCTGCCAAATGTTTAATTCAATTTGGTCAAATGCCACACGTGCGCCGAGAATCGTGTGAGAAATACAATAAATCTGAAGGTTAATAGGCGTCAGTGATGTAAAGGCAGATGTATAAGATAAATAAATATGTTTTGTTCAATTATGGGAACAATTGATCAAATTGAACAATGGCTACAAGCTTAAAATACATCAATAATTCGAGCAGAATAAATTGACAATTTGAAGTTTTACTGCTGAAATTTATTTATTAAATACTTTATGAATATAAATGACGAGTGGGTTGGCCGGTTACCCGGCTCAAATGTCATGGAATAAATCACAGCCAAACAATAGATATGTAAATTTTTCCGCGAAATAAAACATGGCTGGCCGGAGTTGCGACAAAATGTTGCACATGGCCACAAAGTAAAAATGTAAGAAATGGCATAATTAAAATATCAATTCATAAATTTTGCTAAAAATGTTTTCCACGAAAATACAGTTTATTAAAATTAAAACAAACAAATAAAAAGGTTATTAAAATAAAATTAATAAATTTCTCTATATATATTTCGCTATAAAAACTATGCAAATTGAAAATGGCAATTAAAGGACTTCTATTAATGAAACAGTTTATTGTAATATCATTGCAATCGACTATGTGAAATACCTTTCGTCAACAACAATACCAACTAACTAGAAAGAGCTGCAGCTGCCAAAACTCTTTGGGAATTCCAAGCAAATGAAGCTTTAATTAAGGCTTCATAAAAACTACAAAAGCGAGTTACAAATTGACGAGCTTTTTTAGTTCACTGTCTTGGTACAAAAATAGTTTGATGATTTCAAGCGAAAGAGGAAGCGCAAATTCAAGTTCTGCGAGCTTTTGTGAGTCCCCTCCAGAAATAAGCAATTATTAATTAGTCCCAAGCCTACTACAATTATGTGTACGCACCTTAAGCCATACAGTGTGTAGAACTTCTGGGAATTAAAAGGGTATTAGAGCTCCACAGTACAAAACAAGTTCTGTTTCGCTTTTAATAGAGCTTACGAGCTGTGGAGCTCTACAAGCCAGAACTTGCCCGTCTGCCCATTTCATGTAGGCAGCAATATTATCAAATTAGTTGCTTTTATGGTTTGGCAAGCAAACCTGATGCTCTACTGCTGATCTCATAGCACAATCTCTTTGTCCGTTCTCTCAAATATTTCGCTATGACACAAATGACTCAGCTTGGGTTTTTGTACAATAGACAGAATTTACATAAATAGGTTGCTGTTTCTATAGTTTTCTCATACCCTGTACTCAAGGAAAGGGGCTGATGGGGTATATTATATATTGGTGGGACATCTGAATAGGTGGTATGTACATCTATTGTTTACATAAACAGACTCAAAAGCAAACTATATTTAAATGATATATCAAATTATCGATAGCTTGATCACATGTAATCGATAACGAAATGATCGACTATTGATGTCCCATTTATAATAAGAGACAGTTTTACGATTTTTTCTTTAAGTGCAAAAGATTATAACAATCGAAAAATAAACAGATATTAAAGAATATCTTGCCTATGGGTTGAAACTATGGAAAAGAGCCAGTACAGCCATGGCTTAAATTGAAAATCGCATAGAAGGCACTTTGAAAGTACGTTCCAACAGGTCGCAGCGGAGTGCAAGGTATCTGCTTGTAAAGCACGCTCAATTAGATCACACTCATTTTGTGTTTTTAAAGCCGCGGGACGCTTTGAGAGCAGTTCTCTACCTAATTATTTGCGTAGTTAAAGTGCCGGCAGAGACAGACAGAGAAAAAAAGACCATCAAAATGACAATGAGCCCCTCTAATGACACTGTGCGCTTGGCGCTGTCATTCGCCGTGTTTATGTTTACTCGTTATGCAGACAAATTACAGAGTGCTCGGGAACCAATGGAATGGGGAGACCCGTGCGTAGAGCATGGCGCACAATATGGACAGAAGTTAACATGAGTTGTCAGAAAATTGTAGGTCCTGGCGTCAACATATTGCCGTTAAGGCTTGACACACAGTGTAACTCATTTGCACAGGATGGCGACGTGTGCTTGGTCCTTAGTCGCCAAAGGACTTGGGGGCAAACAACACACAAATTGCTGCAATTTACTTTAAAAATTCATTTAATTAACAAATGCCCGCGCAGACAAAAGCGCTTTTGTTTGCTATATAAATATTTTATCACCGGGATTTGCTCGAGTTATATTTGCCTCGCTTATCTGAGCAAATATATGTCTATATACACTATAAATGTCGCTACCTACAAGTTGATAGATATATACACATATATATAAATGCTTTCATTAAGCTGATTTCTCTTGACATTTTATTAAAACATAACTTTAGATGCATATATTATATATCTTGTTTGCTTATTAGTTTGTAGGTAGCTGTTTAATGCCCTGTAATATGTAGATGGGGTTTACGAGGTTTGCAATAATATTGAGCATCGCATGAAAAAGTTTGTTTATAATATTTATCTCGGCAAACTCTGATTCTATGAGAGCTACGGACTACGAATTTGATATGTAAGCCTTGAATAATAAGAAGATATAACATCATACCCAGTTTTTAAGAAGTAGCGTAAATCCTTCAAATTCCATATATAACAAAATTCTTATTTAGACTTCGTTATCTATCAGCAGCAACGTAATATATAGATTTTCTTTAATTTTTTTGTGGTTAACTTTTTATTATCTTAAACTACATACTGTGCATAGGGTAACTATTAAACAAGCAACATAGTCATGTACACTCCTACACTCTGAAACTATATATTATATTTTATTCATATGTAAAATATTATTGTTTCTTATAGATGACACAATTCGCTGATGTCATTCAACTGACTTTAAAAGGCAACCATAATTAAACAGTTTAGGTACATTAAAGTTTATAAATTACGTCAAGTACCAGAGATTAATTAAATGCCAAAACAAATTAGCTAAGACTATGGATTTAATGATCTGAACAAACTGAATCAGTTCTACTTTAATCAGCTGCTGAGCAATATGCAATTGAAATAAATCGTTGGAAACTGTACATGATTTTCCGCAGGGCTCATTTTGCTATTATTTATTATTATTAATATATTAAACAACTTATATACATGTACACTTAGGACTTATAGGGCTTTATTGTCGCGCTTACTTGAGTCCAATTTTGATTTGATCAAATGCAGCCATGGAAGACATTTTGTTGTGTATTTTTTGTTGTAGTTGTTGCGACGTCGTCAAATGTAATTTTTATTAAAAATTTGCTTTTCTTGCTTTTCAAATATATATATATTTTTTGTTTTTATATTAAATCAATAAATACTTTTTTTATTATATTTATGTTTTAATTTCACCATCAAAATGATTGTTATCAAATAGATTTGTTTTATTTGTTTAGTTTGTTTGTTTTTGTTAGGTCCTTTGCCAGCTGTTGACTTGACCTTGTGCCTGATTGCCAAAAAAAACGAGATAGGCTGCTGCAGCAACAGCTATTACACTGATAAGCAGCTTTCGGCTGGCACGTCCTGCGCAGCTATAAAAACACGCGCACAAGCACACGCAGGATATTGTCACTGCGAAAAAAGCACACACACGCACACGCCGAATCTTTTGCTTATCACATAACTTTTGCTTTTAAGCGAAATAAAAACCACACGAATACTGTTGTTGTTATTTTTGGTGTTGTTGTCGTTGTTGTTGCCGTGCCGCGTGAATTTAAATAAATTCTATAATAGTTTATATTATATTATTGTTGTTTTTGTTGCTGTGCTATTGTGGCTATTGTTGTTCTAGTTGATATTGTATTAGCTAGCTGTTGCTTCTATTTAGCCTCTTTAGTTACACTTTGTACTACGTCCGTTTGGCTTGAAGGCAGCTCATCAACTGTTTTGCAAGCACGCGACGGTAAAGCCCCACGCTAAAGTTCTAAGCACAAGGCACATGCGAAAGCTCTCCGTCGAGCATAAAGAGCGCGCGAAACAAGCTGCTGCTGACTTGCTTGCTGTTGTTGTTGCTGTGCGTGCTTATGCTTCTTCTTGATTTTCTCAGTGGCTGTTCTTGTTGTTATGCATTGACGCTTTGGTGCTTTACTGCGAAGTAAAAGTCATGCTGTAATCCATATAGGGGCAAAGAGACACAGCGAACGAGAGAGAGAGAGAGAGAGAGTGAGAGAAATAGTGCTCTAAAAGTGAACTACATGCATGGTATAATCAGTGCAATCAACGTTCGGGACTTCCCCATTGAGTATAAAGCATTTAGAGATGCATTTTCTCTCAAGAGCTCTTATATCCTCTGGTAATCCTATCACAACAGATGGTGCATAGGCTTACAGCTCCATATGGCAGAGCTAATAAACTATTGAATCATTTATGATTCACTATTACGATATCGTTAAGCCTCAATCAACGCGCCTTATTGTACTTGCCTTATCAGTATTGATAAATGTTAATGAGTATTTTTTTTTTGTATATGCAGACGTCAAGTGCTCCGAAACATGATTTCGCAAACTGTGATTTCGCTTCTTTGCTAACACGCATTGTAATTTTCTGAAAAAATCATAAAAAAGTACATTTGTACATGTATAAATCATATTGATAAGGCGAAGTTTGCTCAAGTGGGCGTCAGTTATTCCGGGCGTGAATGAATCATGTATTTTACAGGGAATACCAGTCGCGGGTATTTGAAATGCTTTAGGGCAAAGTTCATATTTATAAGGCATAGTTATATCAACTTATACGGCCTACCTTGCCATGACATGCCTGAAATTCAACTTTATATCTTATCTAAGGCTTTTCTGTTGAACACAAATCATATTTATTTTGCCGTTACAAAGATATTCAAGATATGTTGTCTAACCTCAAAAGTAACTTATTTTTTGGTAAAAATGAAGTTATGAATATTATGACTATGCTTTTTATGCTTGCTGTGGAGCTGCACGCGCCGCAAGCTTTTTGCGCAAAGTAAACAAATAGACTGTACATACACTCACGAATAAGGATATAACAGCTGACTGAGAGACTAGGCCATGAGCTCCTGTTGCTGTTGTTGCCACACGCCAACTTTTACCTCGCTTAAAGCTTCCGCTATAGCTTTCGCTGTGTTGCGCTTTTGAACGTATTAATTTTCAAAATGGGGTCAGCCAATTGCTCGGACCAAGCAATAATAGGTAGTTATGGCCAGTTGCCGTTAGTAAACGTTACTTAGTGGGCTGCACGCAACTGAGGAACACGCTTAATCGCAAAATCTCTCCATATATTGTATTCGCACGCAATGCGCGCGCTCTGCCTCAAATCAAAGTTGATTTAACTTATTAAAAGTAATTTTATTTCGTCCGCCCCTTCTGCGACCCCCACATGCCGCTCACATTGTTCTTATACACTTATACGATAACTGTCTGACCTTGGGCAATGCTCGCCGCAAAAATAAAAACCGCCGGCTGCTTTCAACATAAGCTCTCGTGACTTATGCTGTCATATGTTTTGCAGCTGTCGCTCTCGGAGCTTTCGCAAGAGCGGAGCAAAACTTGATCAAGCGCTGTCACATTTATTGGTGCGCTCTCACGCTCTCCCGCTCACTTGCCTGCTCTCTTTACGATCTCGTGCTCAGCACTTTTGGCACGTTTGTTTATTTTGTATTATTATTGCGTTTAATTCATTTAAATCAATTGAAAATTTGCTTCTATTTCTGGCTTTAGTTTGCACATTGTTAAGTTCTAAATTATTTTGATTAATTAAATTAAGCTCTTCATTTGCTTCGCTGTGCTTGTTATAAATTGTGCTTGGGTTTTATTTTGTCTTTTTTTTTACCTGATCTATGCCATCTGCTTATGCATCACAGATCCGAATTCCCATTTCTTTGAATTTCTTTGTCCCGACCAAATGCTTTTATGGTTTTGTGTACAGAATTGAATGAAAACTTTTTGTTCAATTATATGAACTTTGCACTTTGGCCGTCAAAAAAACGATTTTTTTTCAAATACTCTTTACTAGAATGGAAATAATATTTTCAGTTGATTTGATTCAGTTGAAATTCGAATTCAAAATAAATTAAAGGCAAAATCTTATTCATTTATGCATAGAAATGATTGAGTTAAACCATATTGTATTCAACGGTTCGCTTTCTGAATATTCTGATATAAATGGAGACAATTTCATTCCCATGAAATTAGCTTTTCAGTAGAGCTTGTTAGATATTCATGGTTATAAACCTTACTGGATATCCTTTTGTTTACGTTGTTTTGTAATTCCGTAGCTCTAACGTACAGAGTTATGCTAAAAGTTAAAAATCCTCATTACTCTTGTCCCCTAATCTGCTGCTGTCCGGCTGGCATGTTATTTATTGGGTCTTGGCGGCCAAACGCTTGTCGCGCTCCTCCGAAATGTTCAGCTTAACACCCTTGCCCTTTGGCAGCGAGATGTAAGGCGTATTGCCCTTGCCAATGATGAACACGTTGGTCAAACGAGTGGCAAATACATGACCCTGCGAATCCTTAATGTGCACAATATCGAAGGAGCCGGGATGACGCTCACGGTTGACAACGGTGCCAACACGTCCCAAAATTTCTACCTCCAGTGATCATGCAGAGGTTGCCTGAATCAAACTTGATGTAGTCGGTGATCTTGCCGGTGGCAATGTCCACCTGCACGGTATCGTTGGCATGCACCAGAGGATCGGGATAGCGGTTGGTGCGGCCATCGCGCGTCACCAGGAATGGCACGCCCTTGGCACCCAATTGTGTCTTGCGCACCTTGCACAGCTAGTACTTGGCCTCCTCAGCGGAAATGCGATGAATGGTGAAACGTCCCTTCACATCATAGACCAGACGGAAGAACTCACCAGTCTTCTCAATGGTGATGACATCCATGAAGCCGGCTGGGTAGGTGGGATCCGTGCGCACCTTGTCGTCAACCTTGATGAGGCGCTGCATGACAATTTTGGTCACCTCGGCGCCGTTGAGAGCGTACTTTAGACGATTTCTCAGGAAGATCAACAGCGGCAGCGACTCGCACAGCTTGTGTGGACCTTTTGAGGGACGTGGAGCGAAAACACCGCCCGATTTGTCCAACATCCATGTCTTTGGTGCGGCTAAACGCTTCAAATGTTTCTAAGGTCCACGAGCCATCTCGTACGATACGTAACTTATTATAAACTGACTGATCAATAACCGTTTTTCTGAATAAGTCGTCTTTTTAGGGCAGTTCGAGGACTAAACAAATACATTTTTAAATATCAATCCAATCATTTTTAAACGAACGTTTAGTAAAAGAAAATTTAATTATAAAATGAACTAATCAAAATATCCTATAAAGTATTTCAAATACTCATAAATACACATATATGCGTTCTATGTCAAACAGTTCCTAAGTAAATGTTATGCACCCCGTACACGCGCGCCGAACCCCAGATGATAAGAAGACCAAGTAAATGCCAGCTGTCAGACATCAAACAGCGTGACAGTTGCCCAGTTGGAGGGGGAGGGACGAAGCCCCAACACTGTACTCATGAATTTTTCAAAATCAAATCAAAAGTACACTCGCCACGACCCCTTTTGGATAGAAATGGCTAACCCCAACAATCATAATTTGCAGAGAGTTCAACAATCTCGCGTGACTTTTGCCCAGCCATTCCGTGTCTCGAATATGGCACATGTGCAGCATGCGTCGTCCTCGTGCCTCCGGCAGCGGCGCCACAGCGAAATGGTGCATGGATTGCTGATGTTTTGGCTGCACGTTTGTGTTAGCTTTACCCATCTTCCGCTTCGCCCACACTCGTGAAATATGTAAGAAAAAAGGAAAAAAAGAATATTATTTTCTGGGATTTTAAAAATTCAGAAGGATTCACATAGGTTAGGCAAAAGGCGCGAATGCTTAACTTGACTTCATCTGTGGTCAGATTAGACTACTCAACTGAATTATAAGATAAATTAAAATTTATAAAATATATAAAATATATAAATTAAATTTATAACTACAAACTACTTCCTCTACTTGGTAGTCTATTATACAAATTTACAAGGGTTACTTTATGAATCGATCTGGGAGATCGATTGGGTGAGACCTTCGCAATCTACTCCGCGTATGGAGTCCTCTAATTCTACGCCTTTTTAGAAGACGCCTAGCCAGACGATTAGGATGGTTTCCCAGTCGGGCCGTGTAATTTGCAGCCTGTATATTTATAACGCCCCCGACTTTCGGTACTCCTAGGTCTTTTTCCAAATCGGAAGTTTTATATACCAGGAGGCACCAGACAGGTATCGGA